AACCGAATCCTTGGTCTGCCTCGTCCATCTTCGGCATTGTTCACGTCCCGACACCCGATTGACACTCGAGATGAACAACACCTCCGCTAATTGGCGCGCATCATTAGAAAAGGGGAGGGGGGTTGAGAGAGAAAGAAAGGGAATCACCACTGGGAAAATTCGGTAGTCCTCGGTCAGTTCGATACTTGCATCTGTACAGAGCGGTCTCCAGTTGTTTTCTGAGAAATCGTGTACGTAGCTTATCTTGGGTAATTTTCGCTTGTTCGAGTTTTTGAGAAGTTTTTTCGTTGCACCGCGACGCATTAACGTGTTTTGTTTTGCATCAATTCATCTTTGTTCGTTTGAATCAAAAATACAGCTGCGTGCCGCATCAACATTCACCACGTGCTGTGAGCACCCATGGCTAACGTCCGCACTCGCGGAACCGTGGTACGAAGACGAGAAGGAGAACAGCGCGGACACGCGCTTACAGTCACACCTCTACACATTTACACCTCCACATCTGCATATCAATTCAAACCAGGTTGTTATTTTTTTCCTATTCAATTTGTACCGGTCGTTTTTCTCCTCTTAGGGGGTTTTCTCGCAAGAGTTTCCTCCTTTGAGTCACCAATTATATCTTCATCAGTGGCTCATAAATAGTGTTTTTTCATTTAGTTTAAGCCAAACCTGTCCTATACTTCGTCACTTAACGTAAATGCTTCACAACTAATTCCGTGTCTTTTATAGTAAAGTAGTACCTTATTTTTAGTAACTTAATTATTGCCCTTAAATTTAGAAGTTTGTCCTGTGCTTCCGCAGCATAGTGTTACCTTTCTCGCGTTTTGTATTTTGTACTTTGTATTTGCTTTACGGGCTCCCAATTTACGATATTATTAATAAATCAGATGGCTTTGTCACATAGACGCAGTCATTAGGGTGGCAGAAGACCCCTGTGCCACAATTTAGTAAGGGATGGCAACTTCCTATAGTAATTTCGTTGAGCTGCCTAAAATCAGTTACCACGTGCCAACGCTTTTCCCCATCCGGCCCCGCATGCTTGGGTACAATCCACATGTTAGAATTGTACGGCGATTTTGAATGCTCGACGATTCCTTGCTCGAGCAATTTCTCTATCTCTTTTTTTATCTGTTTCCGTAGCGCTGGTGGGTACCGATAGCGCTTCACCGTCACTGGCGTGTCCGTCGTAGTTATGATGCGGTGTTTCAATATGTGAGTTACTTTCAGTGGTTCTCCATCCAAATACAAATGGATTATACTCCACGAGTTTCCAGACGTGTGATTTTTCTTCCTTGTTGCAGCTTGAAACATCAATAAGCTGCATTATTTTATCGATTCTCGCTATTTTTCCTTTATCCGACAACCTACCTAAATAATTGTCAGTGTTCTTGAAATCACTATTGTTCCCACCACTTGTATGATTATTTATAACCATATTCAACTTTTTTCATTTTTCTTCTTTCTCAGCCATCTGCCTCAAAAAGTCTTATGATTGCCTCATTAACGCCCTGAGCGTCGTTCACTTCGACGCTGAATGAATCGGCCTCTCGAATCACTTCGCATTCTAATAACATTATTTTCGGTACAGGTATGCTTATTGTTTCATTTAGTGTGTTTACACACTCAGCATAAACTTTTCCACCATTATTTGTGGCTATGAAATTTCCGAATAAAACTCCTTCTCTCATTCTTTGCAAAGGAACCCACCCTATTTTTATTTTTTCGCTATTCACCCCGACGTGGGCATATATAACTTGCCTTGACCTAGCAAGAATCTCGAACATCTCTGGCTCAATTAAATTAATTTTTATTCCTCCTAATTTAAAAATATTTTCTGCCGAGCTTATGCGACCTTGATATAACTTAAAAATGTCCCATCCAATAATACCTTCCCCATCTAGTGGGAAGTCGCGTGGGACCACATGCAACCTACACATAAGGCCATTCAGTGGTATTTCAACTACACCTAAAGTGTTACGCTCTCCGTGCGCAACACCCATAATTCTTACTCGATTCCTCACGTCAAAGAATGCATTTGGAAGAATACTGTCTTCCTTTATAATAGAAATTTCAGCTCCTGTGTCCGCGTAGAATTTTGCTTCCCCACCTCTCAGTTGAGTGCTTGTCATGAATACCGAAGGGGGTGTCCTACCTGCTAGAAATATATTTATTTTTGCTCCACGCTGAGGCTCGCTTCTGTTATTGTTTCGTCCTACTTCCATTTGAGGGCTGTTTCGAGGCAAATTATCTCTCCTTGTCGTCATATCAACTCTTACACTCGCAGCTAGCGACTCTGTTACCTCTACGTTTGCCGTTTTTCTGCTGTCAAGTGTTTTTGTTATCTCCCTATCTACTGGGGGATGCCCGACGCTTGGGGAGCGCATCGAGCATCCTGGGAGTTTAAATTTTCCGCGCGTGACCCGTCTGTTCTCGTATTTTTCTCATGATTGTATTGATTATTTTTGTTTCCTCTGTGATTGTAGAGGTTGTAATTGTTTTTCCTGGGTCCATAGTTATTATAATTATTCTCCCGTCGCTGATTATAATTGTTATAATTGTTATTGCCGGTCGCGTAATTGTTATAATTGTTTTCTCGTTGCTGATTATAATTGTTATAATTGTTATTACCGGGCGCGTAATTATTATAATTATTATTGGGTGCATGATTATTTCCCCTATTTCGACCATTGAAATTCCTATTCTCTTCGAATGGCCTACTATTGTTCCTGTTATTCTTGGCCGGAGGGCGACTATTGTTTCCATTGAAGTTTCTATTATTATTGTTATAAGTATTATAATTGGATGTGTAGCTATTATGTTTGTTATGGTAATTTCTAGAGTCAGGGTTACTGTACTGCACATTGGGTGCCTGATCATCGTACGCAGGTCTTCCTTTATTTATGTCCCTCATCTCCGTTAGTCTCTTGGGTGGTTCTGTTTCAGGCCTATCAGGGTCTTTTATTCTTCCATTTTTCGCGTCCCTCCATAGATTTTCGCACCCGCTCGTAGAGTTCAGATAGTGCTCCTGACAATATGAGTACCACTTAACATCTTTGATGCCATCCCATTCGTCCGTATCGCTCTTTCCCTCTGGCGCATCGCTGATTACCATGCCTATCCTTGGATTCCTCTTACCAAAACAACTCTCCCATGTTGCATATGTGCTAAAATCATTAGGTGCCATTTGACGTAAACTTAACTCGTTATCTACATCTATAGCCACTTCAATGGCCTCCTCCAGTGTTACAGGTTTTACCCCGGCCACGTTCCAATTGTATGGCGCTTTCAACCCATATATTAACTGTTTCGCTGACTCTCTATCCGCGGATTGTTTTAGGGCAGTTTTCTGAATTTGGGACAGCTGGGAGTTGGCGTCATGAGTCATCATTATTCTATTATGCAACCGTTGCACCCAGCTGCAGTACTGAATAACTGACTCGCTGTTCAGTTGAGTCAGTGACTTAAGTTGGGCTAGCTGTGTATCTATGCCTCCCATGCTCCCGAATTGCCGTGACAGCGCGAGTAAAAATGCGTCTACGGTATTAAACAGTGATAAACGGGTGCAAAATTGATCTGCCGCCATCCCCCTAAGTTTACTGCCTAATGTACATATAAAGTATTTTTCATGTTGCGACGGAACTGCTAGATTTGCTGTCCTCACGATCTGTTCAAAAAGCGGAAAGTTTATTGGATCTCCGTTGAATATAGGGATGCCACTCACCGCGCTGTTGACATGGGAGAGTGTACTACAGTGCATGCTGACAGGATGCGTGTTTTCCACTCGCTGTTGACTCATGATAGGGTTTATGTAAGTCGGATTTGGCTGCGCTTGATTTTGCTGCTCTCGCAAAATGTTTTTCCCGTTCATGTTATTATCCCGAAACGGCCAGTCAGATGACGGTGCTATCGGTTGGCCTCTCACCCTTTCATTTATTGGGCCTATGGATTCGTTGCTGGGTCCAGCGTCATGCATCCTTGCGCCCAAAAAATTTGGGATTCCCGTTTGCTGCCTCCCATACATTCTTATCTCTTCCGACGTCCTTGACGGTAAGTTCCAATTGTTTTTATGGCCAAATACTAATTTCCTACAATTTTGTGTAAGTGCTTCCTCCGAAAACTGTGTCACACATTGCTGTGCTGTTTGCTGCACCGCTTGTTTTTCTCCTCGTCTGAACGCATGTTGAAGCGTATCCTGTGTATATTTACTGTCGAACCTATCTTTCGAGTACGAGTTTACGTCCCTCGAAATTTCGCTTATCCCATTTTCGGCTGTATAATCTGCATTTTTTAAGGGTGACGTATTCGCGACGTCGTTTTTTACGGTGTTTGAATATTCTGCACCCGCCCCCATTATGCATGACGTTGTTTGTGAAACTTTCTCCCTAATCACCCCTGGTTTCATTTTTTTCAAAAACTTCAACATTAGCATACGCTGTTTCTTACCCATTTTTCCCATTCCATTTGAGTTTTGGGGCTGTGCTCTGAAAATACGGTCAGTATTTCTGACTCCGACTCGTTTTCCGGATACAAGGGAATTTCGTCCTCCCTATCACTTACTACATCACTGTGCGCTTCATCGAAGTTTTCCATCGTAGATTCTTTATTATTCTTTTTTTTGAAATTCTTTATTTCCTGTCTGTATGAGAGCGCTTAAACACTTATAAGTAAATTTATGTACGATTCTTTGCGTTCCTATCTCACGATGACAAAACCGCTTTACTTTAACATTTACCGTGTGTCTAATTTATTATTTATTTATTTATTATTTCCTTACTTTCAATCTGACCAATTTATTTTCACGGTCCGAAATTTTTCTGACTCACGATAAATTACCCTAGTGACGCACCGCCCATACTATAAGGAGGATACCGAACGCAAAACCGATGTAGCAAAAAAATAAATGTATAACGCACAAAATTTTAACAGGACCCCTGGGATAGTTAAATATATTTGTTTATTTATAAATTTCAAGTATTTACCATATGCTCCTGGCTAGAATAATGGCGACCAAGATCTTTATCATCCTTGTTTGCTTGATTTCTATCGTAGTCCCGGGTATCCTCCGCCTTGGTCTTAGATTGAAGCTGCTTTTTTTTCGTACTTCAGCAACTCCTCGCTCCGCTAATTTCTCTCGTAGCAGTTCCTAGTTCACTTCGTGGCACGACACTATGTGTGTTTCCGAAAAATCGCGAGAGTCGATACTTTATCGTCGACAAAAACCGAAAAAAAATTTATTTTTATTTAATCGCGATGACCATCCCACTTCTGACACCAAAACTGTTGCGTAGGATTCTTGGGTCGTGGGGTGCACACGAAGTAAATAGTCGAGGAACTAGTATCAACGTCTTTGTTTGTGCCAAAACGAGAGAAGACCGCGACGCGTGTGTACAACCTTCGTCCTTGACGGTTCCAGCCAGAGAGCGTGCTGCTTCCAGCATTCTGTCTGCTTATCGCTTTACTCTCTTCCACTACAATCATCTGTAGTAGGCCCCAAAAAGAGGGGGCGCACGTACGTGTAGCTATGATATCGTACGTGACATATTACTTCAACCATTTTAATTCATAATTAAAATATTCCGTCTAATTTTACGAAAACAAATTTCAACAGTCTATTATATCACTATTTAAACAGTTTATTAAATTGATTGAATTTAAATATCTTGCTAGCGTAATATTTACGTACGATTCTCAGCCTCAAGATTAATTATCATCCTCAATACCATAAAGACAAATCCAAAATAACTCAGTCTGTTTCGAAGTGGTTGTGATTTGGATAACATTTATTAATAGACATTTATGAATTTTTTTATTTGTCAATAGGCACATCTGATACGACGGAATATTCCATTTTTTGGAAGGGACGTGTATATAATGGCAAGCACATCAAAATCGAGGCTTGTCCTTACGAAGTATCTATGAACATTCACCAAAACAACATATGTTCCGGTTCTATCATATCCGATTACTACGTTGTTACAGCGGCACGCTGCATAACGACTCTCTTATAGTATATGACGCTGCATGACGTAAAAAAACAACTAAAAATTCGCTCTGGTTCACCATACTACAATAAACTTGGTGCTGTTCACGTGGTTGGTGATATCATTGTTCACGAGAAGTATACTGTGGATGCTTTTAATACGCCTATCAATGACATTGCCTTGATCAGCGTTTTGGAGCCCTTCAAGTTTGGCAGAAATTGCCAGAAAATCAAACTGTTGGAATCCGAGAAGGAAATCCGTGATGGTACTGTGGCCGTTATTAGTGGCTGGGGTAGAATTGGGAGCACCTACCCTTATAAACTCCGATTTGCTCGCGTGCCGATTATCGGTAAGACCGAATGTAATGAAACATACAGTTCCGATGGTGGAATTGGTGCTGGACAAATTTGCGCTGGATATATGAAAGTTGGGGGTAAAGACGCTTGTGATGGTGATTCTGGTGGTCCTTTGGTTGTCAACAGAATGCTTGCTGGGATTGTGTCGTATGGACCGGATTGTGGTAAATCAGGGGCACCGGGAGTTTACACAGAGATCTCTTATTTCAAAATGTGGATCATGCAACAGACTAATTTCATACTATGAGGTTGCAGTTTCTGGTTTATGAATTTTTTCCTAAGTGCAAGTATTAATTAAATTATTTTTTTTGTCCAAGCGAATTGAGTGATTCAATACTATTGTCAATTTAAGTAAGATCCACCAACACTGTCTTTTTTTTAACCTAATAATAATTGTGTTCGTCTGTATTATTGAGAAGACTAAACAGTTAAATTATAGGAATGTTAAATTGTAAGTTATTTAAAAGAAACTTTGTCTTTAGTATTTGAATTGTGATCATTACAAGGTAAAACAAGCGTTTTGTTTAGAGCCTAAGAATTATAACAATTATTGGCATTGACTACTTTTTCTGTAAGAAAACGTAAAATTAAAAACTATCATAATATGAAAAACGTCTTATATGAATAATAAATAAATATTTTATACAGTCAGAACTATTCCATGAGTTCAAATATTACAACATTTTTTTCCCAATCTGTTTTTTGATGAATGAAAAATTTTAGTTAACATTTAGGTAACATTTTAGTTAAGAAGGTACCCAAGCATGGATTACTGGGGCCAGATACTTATTTTCTCTTGTCTGCAGAGGAAGCTGAGCGAATTTAAGTCTACAAGACTAGCACTCTTTTTATTTCTATCTGAAGGCCTTCACGACGGCACTTCTTACGAGTCACTTAACTCCCCACATTCAGTAATATCAATAACGTCGGGAGACTCTGGGATCGGTAGAGATTCGATGATTACCAGGTTATTAAAGAGTGCGTTTGCGATAAAACCCTCTTCACCCAAATATGACTTTACGTGGGATGTAGCCAAGGTGCTCTCCTTACTAGAAATACTACCTCCTATATCAGATCTTAGATTAAAGGAGTTGTCACAAAAGACTGCTACTTTAGTAGTAATCTGCACAGCTCACAAGGTGCAAACTCTGGCTGCCATACAGATAAGTAGGGTAACATCGGTGTATCAACATTAATTGTTTTCCCCCTTTCTTCAAAACTTTCCGTGCCAATTTTATAACACTAAACGCAGGGGCCAATGTGCATCTGCAAAGAGGTGAATCACCTACAAGATTGCTCGTAGCTAAGGTACTACTACCATGTATGACTCACATACATGCATGCTGGCCCATGCTCACCGAAAAGAAATTAAATGAAATACTTTTCAAGGCGTAAAATAATAAAATAACTTTAAAGAACTAACAGATGCAAAAGGTTAACGGAGAACAGCTGCGCTGAGGCTTAATATTAGATATTATTATATATAGATCGAGTTTAGAAGACGCAATGTTACAAACTAGAATAACTTAGAGTTAGGACCCATAGACTAAGCGAGAATATTAGCAAATGCTAGAATTATTACATATGGCTAATACAACCTATACATGCTACACCATTACACCTGTACACCATTAGCCAGCAACAATATTACATAAACCTACGAAAGCAATCTTATTGACTGTCAAAGAATTATCCGATTTTTACCATTCATGTTCGCAGGCTTATAGTTTACTGTACAACCCTTTTGTATCGCGTTAACAATTTCATAAACATACTGCAATGGCCCAAATTGTAATTTTGTTAAAAACTGTCACTGTTTCAAATGTAAAGGATAAAGGGGAAGTCACGGCACTTCCCCCTTTTTCTGACGCAGAGATGTCGAGAGAGAGTCTGTTTTCTTGCCCCAACACGGGTAACGGAATTTCCGATTGCCCAGGGCACCCTGAGCCGACTTCGTCTCCTACGACAAGCAGAGAAAACCATAGTTGCCCAAATGCTACTTAAATTTTGAAATAAATTTACAATTAACAATGAATGGAAACGACCAGTAAATCTAAGTAAGTTAACAATATAATAGTTCGCGACGAGCACCCCACTACTATTTCTATAGATGTACGTGTTTTAACCACAGAAACCGCTGTTGTTAATTAATCATTCATGATTATTTATTAGTCCGATCAATGCTCACGTATACAGTGGAAAATCTAGCAATTATTATAGTTATTAATATCTAAAACTAACTACTACTAGGACTATTATTAATANTTGTGTGATTTTGCCATATTTATTAATAAAAATATCATTGAAAGCAAGTCGCTTTTTGCTGCAAAATTTAATTTTTTGAGGGAGAATCACACACCTGTCTGTGTTATCATTGACAAAATAATTTAAATTTATGTTTCATTCTGATACGCGATTGAATAATATTTGTGCAGTTATCTACTTTACGACAAAAATTTTTTTGCATATTCATCATTATAAAATAATTTTGTACGTATTTATTTCTATTGACTTCCAGTAATTGGAACAGTGCCAGTAATACCGACAGTTACCCTACAATTTTTTCCACCCACTTGGTTCGACATGCTGCAACATCTGACGCTCTCTCCAAAGGTATAAACATTGACCTTATCAGAAGAACAGCGGGTTGGACAGAAATTTTAGAGGTATTTGCGAGATTCAACCTCCGTCCAATACGGTGAGTAAGGTATATCGTAGCGACAAACATCTTTAGGGAACATGACTCCACGTGAACTTAACCAGTTGTATATTTCTAATAACTCTATGATTGAAAAAAAAATATAAATATCACTGTCAAATCCACCAAAAAGACACCTAAGTAGATGTGTTAATCATAAGTATCAAATTTACGTTACCTTTTAAGTGTATTATCATGTATAAATACATTTAAATAAAGCTTAATTTTTGTAATTACTGTAATTGAAATTTCCCAATCTCTAAACAGCTGGTCGTTGGAACTTTGAGAGCGAGGCGATGTAGTATAATTAATCATCAAACGAACTTACCTGCAAACGAAGTTCAATTGTAATACGAAGAAGCCTCGTTCAAAGATATTGAAAGTCCTCTTCAAATCTCACAACTAACCATCAATTTAAAATTACATTACATTCAAAAATTACATTTTTCTATTAGAATCGAACTTCACTTACAGATTAGTTCGTTTCATTATTAATTTCATTGGAATTCATGCACAATATTTTTCACTCAAAGTTTCAAAATTTGTGAAATAAATAATTAATACATTTTGAAGCAATATAAAGATATGAGATATTAACTTATATTTCTATTTTTTTTAAATTAATAATTAGGTAACAATCTTAATTAGTATCAACCTTGTAAGGAACTTGCTAATGAACTTAAAAAAAATTACTGTCATTGTGTGGTATTGATTGTTTGCGTATTGACATACTTTTTCAGAGTTCAATTGTGAAGTAAATATTTGTAGCTTAAACAAATCAATCAATAAAACAACACAAACTCTTACATCAAACTAGCAGTTTATTCAAAAGCAAAAAATTAAAGAATGACAGACGTTTTAAATCTTTAAAAGGTGATAGGGCTTTAAGAAAAAATTCTAATAAAACAAAGTGTTGCTGTGCTGGACGAGCATAGCAACCAAAAAACAAAAGGAACAAGAAAACACTGTGTATCTGCGCTCCAAAACGGCTAAACATCCGTTGAACATACAGTCAACCGAACACTGCGTAGCCCCTTTTATCTCTCTGAAGATTGGCAGAGATAAAATGGCCCTGGAGATAGCACTGTTAACTAACCATGGGTTTCATACCTGCGACTTAGAAACTATCTGTGTATCTCGTTCGGTAAGAGCATATTTGCGGGAAGTAATAATGCAAAATTAGAAGTAAACTTATACAAATCGACTTTCAGCTATTAAATTACAAAGATCAAAGGTGTACATTAAGACAGTAACATACAGTGACAATGTTGTTAAATAAAACATTTGGCTTAAGAATCATAATTACTTTACCTCAAAGTTTCAAAATCGTTAATTCATATTAGATTAAAATATACTCAGGTAACAAAATTAAGTGTTGTGAGATTTTCGGACAACTAAGAAACCGTAATATTACTATTCCGCTCTAGATCGTCAAATATTGGTAATAATCCTCAGTAAATGAGACTATTGTCAAGTTTAATGTTAAGTTTTTTCTCAAATAAAATAATCTACAGGCTGAGATAAGTACATACAAATTCCGGTAGGTGTTTGGGAGTAATCTGATTAAGTCAGGCCAAGGTGTATCTTGACCAGCACACCGTGTCAAAGCTTGGATCAATAGGTGAACGAAAATTTTTATATAAATATATTGAGTAAAAAGCTATTTATAATAAATCTCGTAAACATGCACTGTGCCATACAGCTTGGCATGCTATGAAAAGAGACAATATTTTTTTCCTATTTACGTGCATCTGACATTAGCCGACGTTGTCATTACTTCTTGCTACTTAGGTTTTTCTAAATATGTCATTGGAAATCTATTTATTGTACATATTTTCTAAAGAAAACTAACTAACATTTAAATCAAGTACTTACATCGAGTAAAAGAAGAGTAGATGTACGTAGGCCGCGCTTTGGTGATCAAAAGAGAGATTATCTAGGAGCGCTATTTTTTCCCTTTGTTTCGAGCTTGGCTTCAGGAGGAACGTGATTAGAAGAGTACGAACATACCAGGTAAAATAATCTAGGCTCATTGACGAGTAGAGGCCATTATTTGTTTGTTCATTGATATCGTCTTTGAACCTCTTTTTTTCGTTATTTCAGTTGATATGGTTTCTGAGAATGTTGATATAGATGTTTGAATAGTTTTTCAAATAATACTTGTTTTCCGCTCTTTCTCTATAAAAACGTTCAGAGAATACGAAAAAAACGTGTCGAGACCAGTGTTATTATTTTACTGAAAAACAATAAGGGTCGTTATTAAAAAGCAGTGTGATTATGAACCAAAACATAAATTATCTGTTCGCATTTTTATTCATATCAAAAGCTTAGTAAACGAAAGTTAGCGTTCAAAACAATAATTATTTTTTTTTTATTTTTGAACTTCAGTCTTTCAAATTAAAAAAAAATTATTTTCACGTCGTATAACTACGATCTTTCATAGATTCCTTCATACATATGTATACCATATGGAAAAGCAGTTTGCGTTATAGATTTTTGTGCTTCTATATACGTTAGACTGAAGATGCATACGCATTATGCCTTCAAAGTCTCCGATTGTTTGAAAAACACTGTTTTTCTCGATGGTCGAAAACCGGTTTTGGTGGCCCATTAAATCACTGTCACTAGATGCCGTGCGTGTTTTTCACAAAAAGTCTGGTTTATGACGTTTTTCCCCAGAGGGTAGGGCAATCTTGAAGGCTATAGGACAATAGAAGGAGAGACTGTTCAGTTAGATGGTCAGCCATTCAACAGTGGGTTTAGAGAGAAAGGAGTGCTCCAACATATTTACTTCTGAGACATAAGAACTAATTTGAGATGGGAAAATTTGGTTTTCGCACTCTAGGTGTTGTATGCGAGTCAACTAATCCAAGTATTGCGAGAAGATAAATATTAATAAGTATGGATACTTGGATCGAAATTTTTCGATTTATTGACTTGCGCTATTAATTAATTAAATTTAAAAAAGTTATAAAGGATAACTTTCATGCCGTGTATCTTCCTTCCTTGCGAGAAGAAAATACGTACGAACCAGGTTTCCCAAATATCGATTTATTTCGTTTGTTTTTTTCTTACAAATGGAAAAAATATCTATAAATTATTTGAAAATACTAATGTCTTATCGATTTTGCTTATAAAGTCAATAACCTATATCTTAGAGTGTAAAAATTGTTTGTACATAATGATATTAATATGCAAAAAAGAGAGTTTTGTAAGAATCAGAAGCCAAAAAAATTATCTTGATTATACACTTATTGTAAATTCCTTGAAAAATTATAGGAGAATAATTTCATGTTGACATACTTTT